GTTCACATTAATTAAGGTCAACTGGTACATAAGTGGATTCTTATCAATGTTTAAATAATTTAAATGCCTAGACTTGCCAGGTCATTTACCTATATTGAAGCCAGACTTTTTATTAATTACGCATAAAAAGCGTAAAACACCAAATTCTGCTAATACAACCAGAATGGTAAGTCATAGGTAATGACAGTGACACCTAGTGCACAGAGGTCAGCACAGTGCCACTGAATCATGAAGTCATACGACCGATGTGATTCTGATATATATATACAACTTGAAAGATATGTTAAGCAATTTCATTGTGTAAGATGAACTATCATCAGTCTGATAAAATATATATATATATATATGAGACTTACGTAATGCTTCACGATACTAGATGATGCTACTCTTGTGATCAGTTCTCAAGTAAATCTCGAATAGATGATTGCCAGAAGTATTTCGGCAACAGTATTGACTGATTAAACAGTAGAGCGATAAGATTTGCTTGTACTATAAAACAAAGTTTAAAACCTTTCAACTTTTTTTTTATTTAATTCCACTATTTCATGAGATCTGTTTTATGAACATGTGAGCAATGTACTCAGTTTCCACATTTAGTCACATAATACTCACACGCAAGTCTCTCTTGAAGGATGATGACTGATTGTGAGAGTTTTTTCATGGAAAACTAAGGTATCTGAGTGTTACTTTTGGAATGTAAAACTATGGTGTCTGAGTATTATTCACTACCTTTTTTGAACTGCTCGCAATATAGAATAACAGAATAGTAGTCCTTGTTAGAACCATCTCCTCACATACATGAATATGCATTATATATTTATGTATAACCTCGAGTGCTCAGATATACTGCTGAATAATACTTGAATGCAAAGACTTGTTAAAGTTCATTTTCTTATTATTTTATTGCAAAATACACAATCATCTCTTCTACTTCCCCTTCCCCCAACGCACCCCAACTTCGCCTCCTCTTCCACTTCAACCTCCTCTTCATCTTTTTGTTTCTCTCACCACTATTTTGTTCAATTCACGGCTTCTTCCTCCCTCCCCACAATCTTCTCTTTCCCTGACAACTCACTGTTACTCATATCATGGTTAACTGTGTTGACTCAGTGTGTCACTGTGACCTTATCCAATTGGTTCCAATAGTAATTTCTTGGGACACCTGATATTTAATAACCCGGAAGCTGAGGATGGTGGTCAGTTAGTTGTCTTACAGCACCACAACAGTCAACATGATAACTAACGTGTCTCTTACATTTATATAACTCAAGACATATATTATCATGAATTATACAATGCTAATGCCAAATACAAATTTCAAACCACATATATAATATGCAAACGTCTTGTCTTCAGATTGGTAAAGTTTACTCTCTGATTAGTATAATAGTTACATGACTCTGCATAACAAACTTGCATGACTGCTTTGGACGGGTTTTTAGAGTTATTTTCGCCACATAGTGACGAGACTCGGAAAGTTCAAGTTTAATTGCTATTTAAAAAAAATAATTTTTTATATAACTTAATTTGCAGTAGGAATATTGTTTTAGCTAATTGAACATCCAAAAGAGGTAAGGGAGGCTTCAATGATGGCTCTTGAGGCCAATATTGTGATATTAATGAGTAAAAAAGCAATACAAAAAAATAAGCATCGAATAGTTTTATTTGGGTTGAGATCATTTTCTTACAATAAGGTTAATTAACAATAAACTTTTTTCCCTACAGCAGACGGCAAATAAAGAAAATTCTTTCCCCAACAACATGATGTAATCAAATGCAATTATTGTATTCAATCTTAAATATTATGATGTCCCTTGATTTGTATTGCCTGGAACGCAGGCGAGAGACATATATGATACAATACACTTGGAAAATCCTAGAGGGATTAGTACCAAACTGGCACACGAAAATCACTCCCTATGAAAGCGAAAGACTCGCCAGGAGATGCAACATATTCCCAATGAAAAGTAGCGGCGCCACGAGTACACTGAGAGACAACACAGTAAGTGTCCGGGGCCCAAGACTGTTCAACTGCCTCCCAGCATACATAAGGGGATTACCAATATACCCTGACTGTCTTCAAGAAGGCGCTGGACATGCGCCTAAAGTCAGTATCTGACCTGCCAGGCTGTGGTTCGTATGTCAAGTTTGCGTGCGGCCAGCAGTAACAGCCTGGTTTATCAACCCTGATCCACCACGGAGCTGTCTCAGACCGAGCTGCGGAGGCGTTGACCCCGAAACCCTCTCCAAGTAAACTCCAGTAGTCAAATATTTTTACAACAAAAATTAAACTACAAATACCTTAACCAAATATTTGTTTTCGTGAAACTTGCAGTTTGTTATTGTAATACATGAAAAATAATTTGAATCTCATAGTGGAAGATTATAAATTATATTTAGCTGTTGTGTGAGGTATATGTTTCTCAGTGGATATATGTTGAGAGTTTAATTTAATCCATATTTTATAGATTAAAATTTTCTTGTGTGGAGGTGAAAAAATTATGTTCAACTTTAATTACCTTCAGGTAATCAACAGCCTTAAAATCAGATGAATAACCAATTGGATAAGTAAGACAGGAAATTAGAAAATATTAAAAACTTCGTTACACGAGAATTTTTATTTAGAATTATGCAGAGTAAATATGAATTGATAACAGTAATAGAACTGACAAGTGACACTTTTTTTCTGAGTTTGACTTAACTAACCTTTGTAACTTATTTGACGTAATAATCATATATGCAAACAATTCACAAATGATAAATTTCTCAAAATTCCTAAAAAATAATTGAAAACTGCAGCTTACAGCTCTAGTTACAAAATATAAACAGAAAAAAAAATGCTAATGAATAAATTAGATGAAAGATTATCGTTCGTAGAAAAAATGTCACTGATCAAAGCTTATAAGTTCTAGTCCAAGTAATGTGAATCTTAAGACACTACTCTGTGGTGAAAATCTATTTTTTTATGGGATGGAAAATCCATGCCTGATGCACCTGCAAATAATTAGCCATTATAATATTAATAATGGAATACACTACCGATAATTGGATGAATTATATATATGTGTGACACTTGGATATCTTAATTACCGAAACGTTTTTTTCAGTCAAAGTGGCGTGCGTCAGGTACGTTACAGTTTATTCGACGTTCATCATACACTCATTGACAGGCTCTCTCAAAAAACAAACTGGAAATTCAAAATGGAGCAGCTTATCTACGAGCCACGCTGCTTTGTTAATTATCCAGTAGCGTGAGAGTTGGATTACCAGCCGGGGTAGTGTGCTTGACCTCCCAGCTGTCAGGTTAGTCAGTCAAGCTGGTCTGGTTGACTCATACTCCCATGTCTATTCTCAGGTGCTAACCTGACTCACGAAATCGTAATGACACGATTGCAAACAAACGGTCTGGAGTTTTGAGACTCTCTGGTCGCGGGTTCTAACCCCGCCCGTGGTATGGTGTGTTAACCTGTTATGAGTGGCTCTTTGGTCTCTAGCTGTTTAGAATGTATTCCACGACCACTTCTAGGAAGTTTGCTAGACTATTACTGTAAGTTTTCTCTCAAAAAAGAGTAGTCGAAAATGTCTCCAACTATTCTAAAACATCGAAATATGCAGTAAAATCACGGCCATTAACAGAGAAAACAAGCATCCAGAGTTATAAAATTAGAAAAAGAATGCTTGAACATTATCATGAGAAGGTGATAAAGGCTAGATCCATCAGCAGCATTAAAATATAAATACCAGAATTATCACTGAAGACAGGACACCGAAATCATACTTCATCAATAACTACAAACTGGTAATTCAATAGGTAATGACAATGACACCTGAGGTCCACACAGATCAAAGGTGCCACTGAATCATGAGTTAGACGAGCGATTGGTGATTCTAGTATTATATAAGAGCTAAAAAAGATATGTTAAGCAGTTTTTTGTCATGTCAGATATGAACAAATCATACAGTCTATATTAAAAAAAAATATACATTAGTCTCTTACATTATTCTTCACAATACCAAATGTTGTTATTATTGAAGTTTTACTCATAATATGAGTTATGTTTTTGCTTTGCATCAACAATGATTAACGAAATATTATAGTGATAAAATTTAATTTTAATATAAACTTAAAAAAAATAAAATATTCACTACAAAATTGTTTTCATATTTATTTCAGTCTATTATTTCATGAAGTCTTTGTTTTTATTAACCTCTGAGTTATATACTCACTTTCGATATTTAGTTATTTACTCACACTAATCTTTTTACAAAGATGCTGTTTAGTTTGATAGGCATTAAGATGTCTGAGTGTGAGTTTTAGCATGTAAAACTATAGTATCTGAGCATACCACATGACTGCCAGAGTTTGTGAGCTGAATCACCACTTGTATCTTCCCTGACACATTGTATTTGGCTTCAAGAAGAGTCTGATCATTTTAATTGGACAGTGATGATAAACTTGTTTTAAACTGTTAGGCAAACCATACCACGGGAGGGGTTAGAACCCGCGATCAGAGAGTCTTAAAACTCCAGACTGACGCGTTAGCCACTGGTATGGTTTGTTTGCAATCGTGTCATTACGATTTCTTGAGTCATGTTAACTATTAGGCCATAATGAAATGCCAGATTTTGAATTTAGTGTTGCTGCTTCTATACAAGACGAACGTAACTACGAAAAAATACAAACCCATATTTATAGAAAACTAAAACAGGAAATATGAGTGCTATATCATAAATTTCTTTCATTATTTACACCGTTTTCCTTGTCTCGCAATCCACTCAACTTGTTCAAAATACAGAATAATAACTAAATTAGTCCTTGCCTAGATCATCGCCTTGCATTCATGATCATACATTGTATATTCTTGAACAACCTCGAGTGATCAGATATACTGCTGAATAATCTACGTGGAAAGCTTGTTATGGCTCATGTAAATTTCGCTTCAGTATACAGTCATCTCTTTAGTTCCCCACAGCAACCCAACTTTCCCTCTCCATACCACCTCCTGTTCAACCTTGTGATCCTCTCACCAATATTTTGGTCAGTTCACATTTGCGTTTTCCCCTCACCCTCCCTCTCTTCCCACAACCCTTCTACTGGACTCACAATTCCCTGTTACTCACATCACAGTTAAATATGGTGACTCAATCTGTTTGTCACTGTGACCTTATTCAGTTGTTTTCCCTGAGTAATTTTCTTGGACAGCTGAGTATAAATAACCCAGAAGCTGAGGACGGTGGTCAGTTGTCTCAGAGCACTTCGTCAGTCAACATGGTAATTAAACCGTCTTCCTCTGACATTTATATAACTCTAGTCATATATTATCAAGAATTATATACAATGCTAATGCCAAATACAAATTGTAAAACATACATATATAATATGTTAATTTCTTGTCTTCAGATTGGTAAAGTTTGCACCCTGATTGTCATGTGTGTGATGATTGTGATGGCCAGCGCCGGCAGGTTTGGTGGAGGCTACAGTGGTGGTCGTGGTGGTTTTGGTGGAGGTGGCTTCGGTGGAGGTATGAAAGTAACAATCGAATATTTAGAATGGAAAATTTAATATTACTGCACAGATTATTATGTATTATTAGTACCAGTAAAGTCTTTCTCTTTAACACGAATTCAGTCAATTGATCATTCGAAACAAATGACAATGAAATTAGTTGTAATTGTTTAACCAGAGTAAAAATATTTTTAAAAATAATAGATTCATGACACTGTACAACATATATTTACTTACGAACGAAACTGTCAACTTTTTTTCTGTATGACAGGAGGAGGAGGTTTTGGTGGTTACGGTAAGTTTTGTATTTTTGGCCGTAAGATCGAAGGCATGAATGAGAAAGGAAAATATTAGGTGGGGAAATAGTTGACAAAAAAAAAGAATTGTGAGTAAACTATAACAGACAAGAGAGATTAGGTTGCTTGACTGTTTTGAAAGGGTTATAATAGTTATTTTTGTCACAATGACGAGACTCATTAATTTAGTTTGTTTAATAGACATTTTATTGAAAAAATATAACTTTAATTGATATTTAAATAAGTTAAATTCCTCTATAAATCAGATAATTGCACTTTGCTTTTGAAAAGAAAATAGTATGAATATCGCATTCCGTATTGTAAGCCGAATATTTTCAAAGTTATATAACCCTCCACAGGAGGTAGCGGAGGCTTCGGTGGTGGATTTGGAGGTGGATCTGGACGCAGATATGGTGGTGAGTAAATTTGTTTATAGTCTTATTAACTAAAAATTAAAATACAATATCTCTAAAATAATAAAAGTCAACAATTTAATTTGGTTAAGAGTTAATTATCTTACCATAAAGCTGACACTAAACTTTTTCTCTACAGGATACGGCAAATAAACAAGAGTCTTCACTTAATCAACAATCAATTAGAATGTTTTCCAATTTTTTTCCCCAACAATATAATGTAATTAAGAATATTTATTGTATTGAACTTTAAATACTATGTAATAAAATTTATTTCCTGCATTACATATTTGTTTTACCTTGTAAATATATTAAAGTCTCCATACTTATTATATAATAGATTTGCAAGCAGCAGCAGCAGTTGTTAATTAAGAAATAAAGATTATTATACCTATTTTTATCAAGCAAAAATGGTTATAACTATGACCACAATTTTTAAAGGAGTGGACCGGTAAGCCAGCGGAAGGTCTCGGTCATATGACCAAAAGCTCCAACGGCGAGTCATCATCCGACTAAGACTGGCGTCAGGAAACACTTGTCCTGTTTCCTGACGAACCTTACCTAACCTCACCTATGTCTATTAGTTGATTGGTATTCAAAAACACTATAAGAAAGAATTCTGCAAGGAATTCACCAATTGCTTCTTGTACATAATATTTTTGTAACAAAATTATGTAGAATCATTCGTAATATATCGAACTTTAATGATATTCCAAGACAAGTTTTCTTAATACACAAACATCAGCACTAAAGTTAATGCTTTTTCAGAATTCCAATAAAATTTAATGGCTGACTATAATATTTATTTTATTAACACATCGGCCGTTTCCCACCAAGGTAAGGTGACCCGAAAAAGAAGAAACACTTTCATCATTCACTCCATCACCGTCTTGCCAGAGGTGCGCTTACACTACAGTTATAAAACTGCAACATTAACACCTCTCCTTCAGAGTACAGACACTGTACTTCCCATCTCCAGGACTCAAGTCCGGCCTGCCGGTTTCCCTGAATCCCTTCATAAATGTTATTTTTCTCACACTCCAGTCATAAAAGCCATTTGTCTCTACTCGTTCTAGTCTAATACGCTCACGCACGCTTGCTGTAAGTCCAGGCTCCTCGCACATAAAACATCCTTTATCCCCTCTCTACAACCTTTCCTAGGCCGACCCCTACCCTGCCTTCCTTCCACTACAGATTTATACGCTCTCCAAGTCATTCTATTTCCTTCAACCCTTTCTAAATGGCCAAACTACCTCAGCAACCCTTTCTCAACCCTCCGGATAATACCTTCAGTAACTCACCATCTTCTAATTTCCAAACTATGGATTTCTGCATTGTATTCACAATGCACATTGCCCTCAGACACGAAATCACTACCTCCAGCCTTCTCCTTGTTGCAACATTCACCTCCCATGCTTCACACCCATATCAGAACATTGGTATAACTATACTCTCGTAGATTCACCTCTTTGCTTCTATGGATAACTTTTTTTGCCTCCATAGATTCCCCAATGCACTACTAGCCTTTTTCATCAATTCTTTGATTCACCTCGTGTTCCATAGACTCATCTGCTGACAAGTCCACTCCCAAATACCTGAGTACATTCACTTTCTCTGTACTCTCTCCTTCCAGTCTGATGTATAATGTTTCATTACCTAATTTTTTTGTTATCCACATCACCTTACTCTTTCCTATGTTCATTTTTAATTTCCTTCTTTTACATACCCTACCAAACTCGTCCACCAACCTCTGCAACTTCTCTTCAGAATCTCCTAAAACTCTTCACTGTTTTCAGTAACCTACCTCCTATTCCATACATTTGCAACATCTTCTACATTCCCCCCCCCTATCTACCCTATCATATCAGCAAAAAACTATTTACCCTTATCTAAATACTGTCCACTTATTTGTATCACTGTAAACACTAAGTCTACACCCCCTACTCTTACTAAAGCCCCTTCTTAATCTGCGGTCATGCTCTCTGTCTTACCCTTAATTCTTTCAACAATAACTCTACCATACACTTTACCAGGTATACTCAACAGGCTTATTCCTCTATAATTTTTACACTTCCTTTTGCCCCTTTGCCTTTATACAAAGGAACTATGCATGCTCTCTGCCAATCCCTAGGTACCCTACCTTCTTCCATACATTTATTAAATGAAAGCACCAACCGCTCCAAAACTATTTCCCCATCTGCTTGTAACATTTCTGTCTTTATCCCATCAATCCCAGCTGCCCTACCCCTTTTCATTCTATCCACTGCCTCACGCACCTTCCCCACACTCACAACTGGCTCTTCCTCCCTCCAACAAGATATTATACATCTATGCCCAATGCACGAAATCACAGCTTCCCTATCTTCATCAACATTTAACAATTCCTCAAAATATTCCCTCCATCTTCCCGATACCTCTCTCTAACTAATAACTCTCCTCACCTATTTTTAACTGTCAAATCGATTCATTCCCTACTCTTTCTCAACTTATTTACCTCACTCCAAAACATTTTTTATTCTCAACAAAATTTGTTGATAGCATTTCACCCACTCTCTCATTTGCTCTCCTTTTACATTCCTTAGCCACTCTCTTAACCTCTCTTTTTCACTCCCCTCTTTTTCTCCCTCTTTGTATTACTTCTACTTTGTGAAAACCTTTCATATGCTATTTTTTTTCCTCTCTTACTACTCTCTTTACCTCATTATTCAACCAATCGCTCTTCTTCCCTCTCACACCCACTTTCCTGTAACCACAAACTTTTACTGAACTCTCTAACAATACATTCTTAAAACTACCCCATACCTCTTCAACCTCATTGCGTATACACTCACTAGCCCATCTGAGGTTGTCAGTCCCAACAAAGCAGACAGTGGATAAGTCAGAGGATATATGTAAATTGAGGTATATATCTCTCAGTGTATATTCAATGAAAGTTTATCAAATATTCATGGGGAGCTCTCCCTCCATGAATACAGTAGTAGTAGTAGTAGTAGTAGTAGTAATAATAATAATAATAATAATAATAATAATAATAATAATAATAATAATACACCAACGAATGGTAAACCGGTGAGCAAGTCGCTACTCCAAGGGGAGACTTCTTATAAAAAACGCTTCTCTTCTCCTGACAAAAAAAACACCATCACCACCTATAACGATCCTTATTTATGTAAACGATTTACGAGAAGCAGCAAACGAAAGGCACAAATCTTATTCATTAAGGACAAAAAAAAAGACTTAGTCCCTAAAAAAAACACGGAACAGGTGGGACTTGAAGTGAATCCTAAAACTCACTTGCTATGGTACTTACTTGCCATGGGTTCGAGTCCCACCCGTTCCGTGTTTTGTTTGCAATCGTGCTATTTCGATTTTGTGAGTCACTTAGACCCTATGAAAACACTTGGATGAGCTGAGTAAACAGAGAGACGGAGGAGCAATGGAATTGAATTTAGATAAATGCCAAGAATGGTTCTAGTAAGGCACTACAATAGTGTGAAACATTAACATTGTTAAGATGTACTATAAGGATTTATGCAGCCACCAAGATTTACAATTAATATTAAACGGAGAACTTTAGTGTGAACCTTAATAAGAACTTTAGTAAGAACCTTTGAAAGCGTCTTAGTCAGAAACTTACTAAGAACATTAGTAAGAACCTTAGTGAGAACGTTAGTGAGAACCTTAAGCAAGAACCTTGTTAGTTTAATATGTTTATTATACACCCCATACCCATCCTGTGGGCGATAGTAAAAAGATTATAGAGGTACATAATTGGTCCAGGGACTGGACTCCCAAGTTTTGATAGCTGAGCAAGTTACATAGGTATTGAACTCACAATTTACAAAGGTAATGAACTCACAATTTACAAAGGTAATGAACTCCAGGTAGGTCTAGTCACAATCATGACAAGTTACAAAGGTATTTACACATTACAGAGGTACGTAATGGGTCCAGGGACTGGGCCCCCAAAATTTTAATAGCTGAACTAGGTACAAAGGTAATGAACTCACAAGTTACAAAGGTAATGAATCCTGCAAGAATGGTTACTTACGTTTATACATGGCTACAATCATGAACAAATTATAGAGTAATGAGCAATTCACACTTCCACACCCGGTCACAACTGTAATGAGTTATTGGTGCAAATATTGATTGTTGAGTCACACACACACACACACACAACAGGCCTAGTGTCTAATCGACATGTGCCTAGGACAAAATGGTAACTAACTAACACACACACACACACACACACACACACACACACACACACACACACACACACACACACAACACACACACACCACACACATACACACACACACATACACACACACACACACACACACACACACACACGTGGGGCCAGGGAAAAGACGAGGAGCACACTAAAATCAAATGACAGGTCCGAAGACAATGAAGGTATGCTATATGCAGAGATTCTAACAGCCAACTGCAGTAGCAAGGGACAGCTGTCATGAAAGACAGTTCACTGAGAATAGAAGTTTCAGATATGACAGGGACTGAAGGCAAGAACATGTCAATGGAAGGAAATAAAATGCCTCAGAGGAAGCAGATGGAGACTCAGTGGGAGGAGGAAAGGGCTAGGTCAATTTTTGTGTACGGGCTCCAAGAAGCCAAGGGGGACAACTTCGAAGAAATAAAACAGGAGGAGAAAAAAATGATTGAAGGCATCATGAAAACAATAGGTGAGGGCGATATGACCCAGGTGACAAATTTTCAGAGAATTGGGTGGTTTGCGAGTGGAAGGATACGGCCTGTCAAAGTAATTTTCAAGGAAGAAACAGTTCGAACCAGGATTCTGCAAGAGAAAGCAAGACTGAGGGACATACAGGGGTACCAGAGAGTATACCTCGACCGCGACAGAACACAAGAAGAAAGGACTACACTTAAAGAGAGGGTACAGAGACGCAAGGAGGAACGAGAGGCAATGACGAAGATGAGCAGGACCCAGACACAGGAGGAAGGGCAAACACACCTGACAGAATCTCCCACCAAAAGACTCCAACCGCGACATTCCCAACGCAACTGAGCAACCTATACTACAACCCACTCACTGTTCCCTCTGCCACCAACCCCCATATCACAAACCTCACCCCAACAGCTGTCCCTTATGGTGTGAGACCTCTACCCACTCTACCTGAGGTATCCCAGCGAGTGAGCACATCTTCTGTGTATCCCAGTGCTTAACAGAATAGGGAACAGCATGTGGAGGTACAAATAAAAATGGGAACTATGGCTATAGTTTACTTAATAACATA